TTGAGAATTACCATAAACAATTTTAGCTTTCATTTTTCCTTAACTTACCATATACCATTCTTCCTTTTTTTTGTATTTAATTCATATATTAATTATCATGAATTAGTATTCATTTTTATATTTAAAACTTTATAACTAGTATATTTGTCAATACGAAGCTCGTTAAAGTTAAAAAATCATATTGACAAACTTTATTTGCGTTGTATAAGGATTAAAGTTAAAAAAATTAAAATTTGATTATCAAACATTTTAGCATTTCCTACACTTAAAATTATAATAAAGGAAGATAAATATTATGAGCTACACGTTGTTCAGTTATCGAACAATATAAAAATTAAATTGTTAAATAAGACTAAGTTAATCGGCAATTTATAAATACATGTAAGTAATTCGTATGCAAATATCATATGATTTTATACATTTATAATATTTAATAAACTTAGAAATACTAAAATTTATATATTAAATAGTCAAGACCTATAACAAAATTAATAAAAAAAAAATAATAGTAAATAAATAAAATTTATATTATTATTGAATTGAATATTGTGTCTAATAAAATTGCAATAGGGTCTTAATAATTTATTAATATTTAAATAATAAAATATATTTTACTCCGCACTTCATTGGGTACGGGGCTGCTGTGGCTAACTAACAGAACCCCTAAAGCTAAATTTCAGCCCTTGATTAAACATAAATTAAAACAAAATCTAATGTCTGAAAATAAATGAAATAAATTAATAAAATTTAAGAGTTTAACCTATTTAAGATGAGTGTTTGAGAAAAGTCGAAGGTATGTCTTTTTGCTCATGAATTGTATGGTTAGGTGATGAGATCACGTCATAATCACAACTTGAGTTAAACTTTGGATTCTCACTTTGAGCTTTCCGGGCTCTGTTTTTAATTTTCTATGTCCTTGCAGTATGAAGGATGGTAAACAGCTTTTTCATTCTCTGATAGAAGATTTTTTTTTTTTACAAAATCGAGTGAAAACAACTTTGAGTAAATGTCAAACAGAAGATTACAGAGTGAAATTTGCGACTTGTATCAATTTTCGAAATTTGTGGGATCCAACGGTTTCTAGTTCAACAGGTAGCAAGACATAAATGCAGTATTCACTTTTTTTTGGCTTATGTTTTTATAAGATCGGACATGGACACTAGTAGAGTTTGTTATGTTACACAATCTTGTATTCTTATGTTCATCATTTTACTAATAGTGCGGCAAACAAATAATCCGAACCCGTGGCAGTTGCGGGTTCTGCTTCTCAAAATGCTCAGACAATTTTCCTCAACTATCTTAAACTACCAATAAAACACTAATTTAAAGATTGCCTTGTTCACCTCCTCAAAATTGATAAGTTCCTATCAATTAATTTTTTGTTAACTTCTATTGAGGCCCAGATTGATTATGTAACCGTAAGAATCATTTTCTTAGATGTGTCATTGCTATGGGATTGGTTGGTGATGGTGGTTGAGTTTTGTAAGTTTGATACGAGAGTCTATTGCTTAGTGATTCTTTATTTGTTGTATGTGTCCGACTTATCAAACTTCATTAAACTTATATATGATACTGTCTGAAAATAGAAGAAATACAAAGAAGCTTGTAAGTTGTAATGCAACTAGTCTGAGTGGATTCTGTGATCCATCTCTAATCAGTAATTACAAGGACTTTTCATGGTTCTTGGATTCTTTATGAGCTCTGCCATTACCCACTCGAGAGTTGTGACTGTGGTGTCGGTAACATGTCCTGCCATGAAGATTGATCATATTAGGGATTACGACTTCTTTCTGTAGCCTTATTTATACTCTTTCTGAAGTTCGAGCATTATGTCCACCATTACCTAAATCCAATAGCCCAAAACCTGACGAAAAAAGTTAAATCTGTGAATTAATGAGTAGTTTGATCGGAAAACGTTCAGCGGCGATGACACTGCTCCCTTTTTCGGCTTCCTCGGCGCCCCGCTCTCTTCTTCTCATGTTCATATTTTTTGCCGCAATTTTTGTGTTCTCGATCAGTCTCCAAAAACTCGTCATACTCCATCAGTCTAAAAGAACTCGTCATATTAATTTGTGCAGAGAGATGAGCTTGAAGCAGCAGGTTTAGTTTATTAGGATTATTGTTAGTTTAATTTATTTGTTGTTTATTTATAGTCCTTGGATCTATTTTTAATGAGACTACATCTAATGGCTCATGTTTAAAAGCTGGGGCTGCTGTTAATGACTCACGGGTCACGGCAGCCCCCGAACCCCACTCCATTGGTATCGTCAATGCTTCGAAGATATATGAACTTCGAAACCCTACCCCAAAAATTCGATACAGGAACAACTCATCCTCTATAAGAACATCGAAACCCTACCCAAAAATCCAAATCGAGCGAAATCTAATCGCCTCGCCCCGCTTCAGTCCTGACGCCCCTCAGCTCTCTCTAATTCAGGTATTGATGGCGAAGTCTTTGGCTATTTGAATGTCAACCTGTGGCTAAATTTGATAAAGATTTTGCAAAACAGGGATTGATTGATTGATTGATTTAATGTAGGAGTCCAAAGTAGTTGAGGATTGTTTGCAATGGCAGAAAGCGGAATTGTCTCAAACACCACCACACATCTAATTCCCGATAAAGGTCAGCCACATAGCAACAACGACGATTTGATGCTTTTGGTGCGGTATGTTAACGGCGCAACCCTGGATTGTTCAGTAATCTCAACCCAAAACAACTCCATCAAAGTGCTTGATGATGGTAATCTTTCAAGCTTGTCTCTACTCAAAGAAGATAACTTTGATCCCACTATCACGCCCCCCCGTTTTGTTGTTTATGCTACTTGCAACTCATGGATGCTGTATAGTTCAAATATTCCTGATATTCCATATGACTCTCTGTGGAACCCCACAACCGGCGAGAAGGCATCTCTTCCCTTTTTTGCCTTGGGTTCCGAACGTGTGTCGGTCCCTTGGGCTTATGGGCTCGGGTACGATCCTGCAGGGGACACCTATAAGGTGTTGAGATGTCGTGTGATGAAGAATTTAAGAAGTGACAATGAGATTGGGAAGCTCTACGTTGAGCTGTTGTCGTTGTCCGCCGAAAGTGATTCGTGGAAGGAAATTGAATGTCCTCACGACCCCTTTGAAATTGAACCCTATCTACAACCTTCTCTTTACATCAATGGCTTTTATTATTGGGCAAGTGATGTGGGTTTTGTTTCGTTCGACTTTGCTAAGGAGAAGTTTGGGCCTCTGATACCCAAGCCCAAGAGCGATATGCTCCAGCTCTCATACGGCACTGTTTATCCTGTTGAGTATGAAGCATTGCTTGCTGCTGTTGTTTTCGAGGAAGGTGCATGGCTGAGGAACAACATTGCTGCTGCTGCTGCTGATGATGATGATGATGAAACGGAGCCTTTTCTTTTTGAGATTTGGGTGTGGGAAGAAGCCGTACTCTCGTGGTCTCGGGTGTTGAGACGAAAACTCCGGGCTTGTGCTGATAGAGTTTTGGGCCTCTACAAGAAGCACCTCTTTCTTTCTGGCTCCTATGGTGACCTACAAGTTTACAACTTGGAATCGCGCCGATTGGTGAATCTCGGTATCCGTGACGAGTCTCCGGGTATGATGGAGGTCTTCCCTTATGTTGCCAACGCCGAATCCAGCTTCAAATCCTCCTCAAGAATTCTCTGGTGTGGTGACACAACCACTAGTGTCGTCGATGGTGTTCCTGCTACTATTCGGGCACATACTCGCAGTTTGAAACCTAACGACAGTCTGATGCTTATGGTGCAGTGTGTAGTCGGCCGGACCCGTATTTTCTTTGTGATCTCAACGGAAAACAACTCGTTCAAAGTGCTCCCACAAGGTGATGATGATGATAATGGTCTTCTTCTTCCAAACTTGTCTCGACTCAAAGCTGAAAACTACAATTACAATTGTAAGAATGCCAAATATCACGTCCTAGCGAGTTGCAACACATGGATGCTGTGGGCATGTACCGTAAATCCCGCAAGTTTGGATATTCTGCTTCTGTGGGACCCTAGGACAGACGTGTTTATAACCCTTCCTTCTTTTGAGCCGGAGCCACGCGTGCCTTGCCCAACCTCCATTACAGTGTGGGGTTTCGGTATCGGGTTTGACCCTTCTGCCCCTGGGGACTATAAGGTGGTGAGATGTCGCATGTTGGAGTATTTTCGTTCCCATAGCGAAGCTTCTGCAGAGGTGTTTTCGCTTGAAACTTGGAATCAAATCCCTTATCCCCATGATCTTGTGTGGGAAGTCTATCAGTACCCGTCGCTTTTCATCAATGGCTTTTATTATTGGATGGCAAAGCATTCCACCACAAATGATGTTGCTATTATTTCGTTCGACTTTGCTAAGGAGGAGTTTCCCCCTGATCTCATCCCTATGCCCGGTAGCAAAATTCCGATCACGATTCACTGTGTTTCTCTTGCTGAGCTTGATGGGAATCTTGCTGCTATCGTTTATGATTATCACGACAGGAGAAGAAAATTACGAGTGTTGGTTATCCAAGACGACAGCAGAGGAAGAGGAAGAACAGTGCCCCCCCTTTTACTTTTGAGATTTGGGTATGGGAGCACCGCTGCTGGTCCCTTGTATCCACTTGCCATCTCCCTCCTACTCCTACTCCTGTTGTTTTTATGAGGGTCATCGGCCTCTACAAGAAATATAAAGTGTTTCTTCTGGACTTGCATGGTTACCTATGGCTTTACGATCGTGAGACGCTCAAGCTGGAGAACCTCGACATCCGTGACGATAGTTTCACTCTGACGGTCTTCCCTTATGTTTGAGAGACCCGTATAGGCACTTGATTGGTCGGAAAAGTGTGTACTTTATATATTTATTAGCGTATTTTTATATACTTAATTTTATCGCACTTATATGTTTTCCGATTTATTTATTTATTAGATGGATTCTAGTGCTTTGATACATGCACACTTAATTCTCTTTAAATATGATTTAAAAGGGTATAAAAATGTTTAAAAAATTATGAGTAATCAATTGTTCGCAATAACCATACTTGGCATGGCTGGCCCGGGGTCTCGGTATTGGCCGTCATTCGGAAAATTGAGAATCGCGAGGTGGCCCCGGAGGTCGTATTCGGAAAATTGAGAATCGCGAGGTGGCCCCGGAGGTCGTAAGCCCTGGCGGCTTGCTCGGCAGTCTCGAAAGTGCCGAGCAAACGCGGGCCCCATTTTTGTTGGGGTCTCGTATTTCGGCTGGCGGCGGATGCCCAGGTATTTCAACTCCATTTGGTTGCCTTTGGTTGGTTCCATATTACTATATAAAGATAAAGATTCTTCTTCTTCTTTCATTTTTTTTTTTTTTTTTTTTTTTTTTTTTTTTTT